TCCCATTCGTTTTTGGTGAAATAGAGGTTGGGCAGGTGAATGCAGTCCAGATCCGGCCATCTAAGAGCATGACGAAGGCACTGGATTATCCATCGTTGCGGAAGTGAGGCCCTTCCAGGTCTATGTTGTTGAATTGGTTGGAGCAGTTCTCGTCGTGCCTGGTGCGCGGCATCCCGTCGGAGCAAATGTCCATAGTAAGACCACCTCCGTTGTACCCAGGTCACCGTCCACGCTCTGTGTGTGGGATGTGTACGTAAGAGCTCCCGTACTGCACGACGTCTGACACGATTCAGTGCATAAGCACAGGACTGGGATAATGAAGTAGGTATGTAGAGCTTGAGCACATTGCACATCACCGTGTGTTGTAGGGTTTGAAGACAGTCCAAGTGTTTTCGTAGCGGCTCCAGTAAGGCACACATCCAAAGCCATTTTGAGGAGATGTACCTGTCAAACAGTGCAAGTCCCGTGTGGATTCTGGACCAATGACAATGCTTGAGGATGCTACGCATGGCGTGTATCCCACCTCTCACCATTGCGAGACATTGGGGAACGAGGAAGTCGGTAATTGTGTCACCATCCGCACCGTAAAGGGCCGGATGTTGAAGTGAACACCCCAGGTACTTGAACGAAGTACTCCATGTTAACTTGGAAACAAGATCATCTTCACTGCACACGAGCTTACCTTCCCTCAATTTGGCAGACGTTGATACCAGTGTGGTTTTGGCCAGATTCCATTGGAGACCGTAGGCAGCGAAGTGGTGCAGGATCCAAGGTAGTGAGTCCTTCAAGGTGCGCCAATTCTTGAACCTCAGAAGGCAGTCGTCAATGTACACCCACGCATCGATGAGGTTGGGGAATTCTCGCGCCCATTGTTGATGAAGACCCCGAAATAGGTGCTCAAGAACAGCGGCAAACGTTTGTGAGGAATGGGTACCACCCTGAAGCACACCCCGTTTGAGCGGTATGTCAGTGACAGAGCCTTGCCAAGTCAACGAGACTCGATAACTTTGGACCTCGCACAGCAAGACTTCCAGTTCAGAATGTCGCTCAAGTGGGGTGAAGGAATAAAGGGCACGACGCATCGCATCCCACGATACAGAATCAAAAGCACCCTCAACATCAGCAGATACCCAAATGTGTTCATCCTCAGCAAGGGCTTCTCGATTAAGCTTGTTGGTAGCCACAAAGAGGGAATCCAGGAATTGTGTCCCTGTATAGCCACCAAATTGGTGTTTTGGCGGCTGCCAGGATGCTTGTAATCGAGTGACAAGCAAGGACATAAACAGTTTATGCATGGACTCCATCATTGACAACGGGCGTAAAGATTTGGGTCCAATCACCTGGGACACTTTGGGAGCCAACATCATGACAGCCAGCCTCTGTTCTGACAAAGCCCCTTTAGAAAGCATGGAGTTGAGAATGCATACCACATCCTGGAGTCCTTGTGGCGTCAGGGTGTAGACCTTGATGAAATCAGCTGATAGCCCAGAGATTCCAGCAGTGCGTTGAGATTTCAAGGCATGTATGCGACTCACAACCTCTTCCTGCGTGAAAGGCTTGGCGTCCGCCCGGCTACTTTGCACATCTGTACCTACCGACTGTGAAGAAGGACCAGCATCAGAGGGCAGGGACGTAGTACCAAATTTGGCCTTGATATGAGAAACGACTGCATCATCAAAGCACTGTTTACCACCATACGCAGAATAAGCCCCATCAAAGACAGCCTTAGGCTTCTCAAGTGATAAAGACTTACGAACGGCAGTATAATCGTTGCCAGCAGCAGTTCGGAGAAGTTGTTGACACCACATGTCCCGCTCCAGTCTACGACATGCCAAAATCATCTTGGAAAGACTCGCACGCTGTTCAGGGTCAGCACAGGATCTCCTCTGTGAGCATAGGTTCTTCAGGAAAGTCGAATCTTTGTATTTTTTGGAGGGCATGGGATAGGAGGCTTGCCGTGCGATCCGCAATATGCACTGCCATTGCTGGGAAAGATCGTACTGCTCAATAGAGCCCTTGAGGAAGTCATCACGTTGAATCAGGGTTGGGTTAACCATCCACTTCTTGCATTGCAATCGGCCCTTAGACCAAGAACGCCGTGAAGAAGAAGAGGCAGAATGGGGAAGAGGCACCAGGACATCCCACAATACCAACTCATGATCAGACCCCAGCTCTTTTCCAGAATTGTTGATGGCCCGCGGACGGTTATCAGGGCCGTCAGGCTCCGAGGAACCGAGATTAAAGGCATCACCCTCAGGAGCTCCATATGTGCCGAGTCTGAAGCTGGAGAAGTAGTCATAGGTTCGTTGAGAATGAACCCCAATCCTGGTAGGACTTTGCGGAAGATGGAATTCGGCTCCAAGTAGGGACAAGGGCGTTGAACAAAGATCAAAGCGAAGCTGAGAAGGCTCTGCATTCCAGTCACCACCCACTAAAGTGACGTAACGAGGATAAAGCTGAATAAAGTTTGTAAGATCGTTCACGGCATGCATGTAATTGTCTTCAGAAGCACCAGAATGAGGAAAATGAAGTGAAATCAAAAGCACATCAAGTTTAGCACAGAGATGCGTGAACCTAACTGCCAAAAATCTCTTACCCAGATGGACGGCCTGAATGTGATCCACAATAGCGCCATCAATAGCAATCACTTGTGACAGATAAGACTCACAATCCCCAGCGAAGACTCGAAAGTGGAAAAGCTCGTGTGTGTCATCAAAAAACACCTCCCGTGTACCCGGGGGCAAATCAATACCATCATGAGGCTTCTGTGAGTCAAGTTCAGACCCAGATAGAAGCGCACCACCAACCTCTTGGAACATGAGAACTTCAGGATAATGATCCTCAAAGACAAGGTCCACCCCAGAGGAAACAGGCTTACCAGCGAGATTCCAAGTACAAAGTTGAAGAGGTTGCACACGAGGTTGGCAAAATTGCGAATTTGGCATGCTTGACGGGGCAGTTCACTGACCACCAAAGAGTGCTCGCTCCACCCTGTCCTCAGGTTCGCCTGTGAGCGCAGAGATTGCAGAGAGGTTGAAGTGATAGAGCATCCCAGGTTGGCTATCGTCAGTAGACAAGGCAAGGATCCGTGAAGATGCATCAGCCAGAAGTTGGGACGGTTCTGCTGAGGCAGCTCGTCTACAATCAAGCCAAATCAATGCACGACCCCATTGAACCTCCAGCTCCAGCTTGGAACCCAAAGATTGAAGAAGGTGATGAAGTTTTTCCTGTGCTCTCATAGTTCGTCTATTGCGTAGTCTGACCTCTTTGGGCTTACTGGCGGTAATCCACATGCACCGTGAAGTAGATGAAGCGGCGGGGTACTTCTCGTGGATCTGCTGTTTGATGAGCTGGAATCGCTGAAGGCCTTCGTTTTGTGGCAGCTCTGGAAGATGGATGTGGCAGGTGGAGTTACGACTACCAAACACAACCCATTCAGTAGGCCGCACAGAAGGCTGGAGCTTTTCAAAGATCATTTGGGCATTCTGGAGAATGATGTCCCGCTTAGTGCCATCATCCCATCCCCCCGCGATGAGGTGATTATAGTTCGTAAGCATGGAAGAAGGCATAGTAGATCCAATCCCATAGCCAGTCGGACCATGATTTACGGGAGCTTGCGTAGGCGGTGGCACCGATTTGTAGGATGTGATGGCGGGCTGAGCATTGGAAGCGCCAGCTTGTTGTTGCACCTGTTGAATCATCCCTTCTAACTTGCGGAAACGTTCCTCCACCTCGTCCGGAATTGGTCTTTGCTCCATGCGATTCAAGCGTTCATGAAACCCCATCATCAAACCGTAACATCGATCCATCTTATTGTCTAAGGAGTTCATGAAAGCAAGAGCCCACTCTGGCGCACCAGATTGGACTAAAGCAGCCTTGTCATCAGACTTGGTGGTGAGATCTGGAAGTTCAGGCACAAGTTCAAGATCACGATCTCCCTCTTCGTTTTCCGTCTGTGTTCTGGCCCGTTTGCTATCAGGACTAACGACAGGAGAAGAAGGAAGCAAGTCACCATTTTCCAATCCAGCCATAGCAAGAGCCCAGACTAGAGGACTTTAGAACCTGAACCTTGAGCCGTAGTGCTTGAGCCAAAATGGCTACGGCTTGAGCCAAAATGGCGACGACCTAAGACCCTCAAACCCAGAGGGGGTTTTTTGCCTCCTGCATGGCTGAGTACACGAAGTAGGGAATTAGGTACAATCTAGGGTTTGGAAAGCTTACGAGTTAGGGGCCTTGACAGCTAGGGAGGGGTTTTGTGCCATCGTGATGCATAAGGACCCTTGCAAGTGGGTAGTTTGCATGTCAGTACACACATAGGTTGAGCCGGTTAAGCCTCTTACGGGAATTCAATCTGCCCTGCATGACTGTTATTGAAGTTATTAGTCAGAACAGTCGCGGGTTTGATGTCGTGTAATTGCAGGAAAGCTTTCCTATATGTTTGCTGAGATTTCGGTCTCGAGTTCGAAAGCTGATCTGAGCAGGGTTTGCAAGCTGCGGCTAAAACATTGCATGAGGTACGTGCCGGCACTGCCGATCAGAGTCTGGTGGTCAAGAGGATCTGAGTCTGCCAGTCAGCAGGTCTAACTTTTACACTGGAGTTTCATCCAGTAGCCCGAAGACTAGCATCACTGCTTATCAAGGCTTCTATACTGTAAGGTTCCTCATTATCAGTATGGACTAATGAGCCCGAAACGGAATTCTACTGAATCAGGCCCTGATGGTACTACCACACGGATATCCTAAAAGCCTCATACTGACCCTTAAGAAAACCTGCATGGGTTTGAAGGACAAACCTGAATTGCGCGAGTCTTTCCACATTTCCAGTAATACCTAGCAAGACATCCCCGAGCCGAGGCACAGAGCCAGAGCGAAGACCCCTTGAGGGTCCGCGAGGCTGATGTCCTCAGCTGCGGAAGGCTTGCGGCGTCCCACAAACTTCTTCAGGGCCCAATGTCCAGGGTTTAGGACTAGGACCCAAAATGGAGTCCGAGTCCCTGAACCTAGACTGCAAAGCCCCAAAGCCAGATCTCTGCCAGGAAGTAGACATTGGTAATCACGGTCCTCAGCTGCTTCGGGTTTCAGCTATGTCTGTCTGCTTCGACTTGGATTCGTCTCTAGGTCTAGAGTCTAGAGTCTAGAGCTCCATGCAGTCGACAAGGGGGGGTTATGTGTGCTTCGTTTGTGCCGGAGCTTCTTGGCAGTCCCTCCTTTCCTCAAGCCGGTGCCTTCACTTGCAACCCTGACAGCCCTCTCCAAGAAGCACGGCATCTAGAGTGTTCCCCCTGAACAGGTTCCCGCCAGTCTCTTCTTCAATAACCAAGCCCAAAAAACATTCAAACTTCCGCAGATAATAAACTAAAATGGCCGACCTCGGTGCATCATACGGGACTCTTCAAGGGTCTAAGTGTCGGAGTTAGGCTGTAGGGCCCCAAGATTGAACTGGCGAAGTCATGTGCGCTATGTGGCATGCTCGTACGTGGGCCGGCTGGAAGGCTCCGGGCTGTGGGCCTGGAGTACAGAGGGCTTCGAATTGGGGTTCAGGGCAAAGGTAGTTGGGCTCCAGCTCTAGAGTTTTGGGATTTTGGCTTGGGGTCTTCGATGCAATGCCAAGAAGATCATGTTGCTGATCATCAAATTCAACAGTCCAACCCTCAAGCCCCAGGGTCAAACCCTGGACCTAAGAACCTCAAGTTCCTAAAGTCCCCAAGCCCGAAGACAACAGCCCTTCCAGAAGACTGTAGACCCCTACTCCTCAAAGGACTCTAAGTGGTTTTGGGGTGTCGGGTACGGGGTGAGAGGCCCCACGATCGAAGGCCCAGGCGCTGGCCGAGAACCATCCAAAAGAGGAGCTGCTCGATGAAGAGCGGTGCCAGAGTGATCTTCCCAGAGGGGTTGGCCCGCCGGAAAGCTCCCAGCCTTTTCGGAGTTGGGGATTATTTCGACATTCCGAACCCAGTACCCCAAAGAACAGATAAGTTGTAGCTTTTGGGGGCTCCCGCCCACAGAGAACTCAGTGATAGAAGGAAAACAGCTTTGCAAAGCTTCTCGAACAGGGTTTGGCCGGGGTTTAAGTCTAGGGTCAAGGGTCAAGGTTTAGGGCTTCTTGAGTGTGTGTGTGTGTGTGTGTGTGTGTGTGTGTGTGTGTGTGTGTGTGTGTGTGTGTGTGTGTGTGTGTGTGTGTGTGTGTGTGTGTGTGTGTGTGTGTGTGTGTGTGTGTGTGTGTGTGTGTGTGTGTGTGTGTGTGTGTGTGTGTGTGTGTGTGTGTGTGTGTGTGTGTGTGTGTGTGTGTGTGTGTGTGTGGTGGTGTGTGTGTGTGTGTGTGTGTGTGTGTGTGTGTGTGTGTGTGTGTGTGTGTGTGTGTGTGTGTGTGTGTGTGTGTGTGTGTGTGTGTGTGTGTGTGTGTGTGTGTGTGTGTGTGTGTGTGTGTGCGAAGCTGCGAAAAGGCACAACCGCCAGGCTGAGTCAATGGCGTCGTTTACATCTGTAAGCCCGCAAGCAGACGCACTTCAAGCCAACAAGTTCCACACAACAAAACGCTTTGGCCTGCATGGTCGGCGGGCTAGCGGCTGGATAGCGCTAGAGCTTCAATGTGGTTTGGGGGTCAGCTTCCTTTTTGAGGTCTTCATACTGATGAACATGGCCTTGGGGTATATGGGTTTAACTGGGTGCTCCTCGAAGCTTCAAGGAGTTCTAGCACCCTAGCGCTAAGGAACGCCGTGAGTCGCAGCAGAGGTGGCAGACGGAAAGATGAAAGCACACTCTTCACCCAAAACATCTCAAACCTGATCCCTCCTCCATCAAGCCTGCCTCTCCAACCTTCTGAAATTCCATGTTGTTGAGCAGGGGCTGCATTGCACATGACCCTGATCCCTCACACCATGCAGAAACACTATGACACCATAATCCCCAACCCAAGCTGCCGATCCGTCCCACAAGATCCAAAACTCGAGGCAGTTGGGGGGAGTCCAAAGAAGGAGGATCTTTCTATTGGGGGTTCGAAACTCCCAAATCGAAGCAGCTGAGTCGCTCGAACACACACCACAAGCGAGATAGATACGGCACACTCCACAGAATCCGCAGCTCTCGCGAAACTTTCCTCGGTTGAACGCAGTCCGACACCGCTCCGAGCCCAATGCACAGAGTCTGAATTGAAGTTCGGGTCAACAGCTCTGCTCAGCCAGGCTATCGGCATTCCGCGAACGCCTCAACCCAAGCAACGAATCTTTGCGGTCAGGTTTCAGGAAGCCAGAGATGCCGTCGATGCCCCTCTGCCTCTGCTCCTTGTCCTCCTGGTTGATGCAAAGCCTCTGTCTGGAGGGTTGTCGATGTGACTTGTTCTTTGGGCTTCGGGTTTTCATCTGCTCAATGCTCGGGGCTTTTTCAAGCCGAACCCTCCTGAAACCCAGGCCTGTGGGTAGGAGATCTGCTGTTCGGGCCCAGCGTTTGGCGTTGGGGGCACTTCTTTGGAGTTTGGGACCAGGGGACCGCCGACGGCTTGAACCCCGAAAATGCAGTTGGAACTGAAACAAATCCTGTTATGTCTAAACAGCCCGCACTCGCAAAGATTGTAAATAACGATCCTACCATTGCTCATGGACACGGACGTGCATTTTTTCATAACAAGGAACAGGCCGTGATTTGTGCAGCTTAGGGCGCGTGGCTGCCATAGTCAAGGGTGAAGGTAGTGAAAAGTTTTTTCATTCGGGGCAGGCATGATCATGGATCCTCCACATAAACTTTAACCGAACAGACAACGAAAGTGCCCAAGAAAAGCAGCGCAGCATGGTCCCTGAATGAGGAGAAGCTCACCCTGTGGTCTTCTTACAAACGGAGCCAAGCGTGATCTGCTGGCTGCCAAGATGCATGTCAACAAAGGCCTCGTCTCGGGGAGCATGCGGAGCCGAGAGGTGAAGCTTTGAGAGTCAATGAAGGTTTCAAGCCTATGATGTGTATGTGTATGTATATGTGTCTCAAGCTGCGCAGGCATTTCGTCTACTTGGTTGTTCGGGGCCACTTACAGGCAGTTCCATGGGATAGATATAACTACGCCGATGAGTTGCAAGGTTCTCTTTCTCCAAGTTTCACTGAGGCTTCTGTGCGAATTCGAGGACGGCTCTAATCTACTTTCAACATAGTTGCCGTACTTACTCAAAGTACTCATAATGTCGTGGCTCGGCCTTAGTGCATAGGTGTCTAGTGACTGTGGTATAAGCTGTGTAGTCGAGAATGGAGAGCTTCCGGCATGTATTCTCACTCGGGCAAAGTACCCGAGTTTTGGATTTCGGGGACCTGCGGATGGCAGCGTGATGAGGCCCCATGAGTGTTTATTAGATGCTCATTTGGCGCATGTTCTGCAACAGGCACCATCTATGCTTCCATTAGGGCTACGGCTTCAAGTCGAAATGCGAATTCAGGCTTAGCCGCAATCCAACACCAACCCATCACAATGCCCAGGGGCCGTCCGTGGTCTCCTCTCCTGGGGAGATCGGGTCAAAGTGCTTGTGGGCGTTATTTGTTGGCAGTTTCTAAGGTTAGTTAAACAGGCTTCGCATGGTTGGGGATCTATGGATCTATGGATGTAGGTTCGGCTTTTAGGCTTGAGGGTGCCCAGTGTGGATTTATAGGGGATTTCAGGTTTAAGGCTCTCGAAAGATCCACTCAGGGCTGTTAGGCATCAAAGATTAAAGGTTAAGGTTGACGGTGGAAGGGCAGTGGCCGGGACATGGAGAGGTGCAAGCATAGGAGGCTCTTGGTTTGGGATTTCAATGCTCGGAACTTTCGGCCGTGATCTGGAGCCGAATACCACTCGAATAGTAAACCCTTGCTACTACCGTCTGTGACGTTTCAACCGTGGCTGCTCTTATGAAGCCAAAGCTGATACCCTGGCCCCTTGCTTGGAATCCCTTGAAGAAGGTACCTTAACCAATCGATCTATTCTTCATTACCGACCTCTGGAGAGGACAACCCTAAGGCGTATTAGTGCCCGCAAGCCGCGGAGCACCGTGCATCCGAAAGCAGGGCTTGTAGCTGTAGGTTGTCTCTTTAGTCTCTTTAGAGCTTATGATTTCGGGTTTCGGGCTTGCCTCACCTTGATCTTATCTTGACCTGTTAAACCAGGAAGCATAACGATGGCGGCAAACGACCGCTGTCTTTTGAAAACGGTCACACGTCCATCTACTCGCCTGCTGTTGCCTACGAAAGGTCTCCCGCAGGGGCCTTAAGAACTGCGCAACAGACGTTGTAACGGAGAGTATGCGGGAATGCGAGTACAATTCTATTCAGCGCCACATGCTAACTGCAGTGCAGGCTTCCGGCACGTACGGCGCGAGGAAGAGCCCGAGCAGCATGGCAGGAAAGTTGGCCCAGCGCATCCAAGGCCCCATGGGATACCTTTGGCAAGGAGCCCCGAAGCAGGCTCTTCACATAAGGCGTCCTTCATCCCACCAACCTTCAATCCACCTTTTGAAGCAGCCACTTCTTCGGACTGTCTCGGATTAAAGTATTGTGCCGAAGGGCTTGGAATTTTGGGGCAGGGGCTCGCAAGTGTGTCGAGAACCCCAAACCCTGAAGCCCGAAACCCAAATCGAGCAGGCCTCTCCCTCAATTTTTCGGGGATCATGTCCTTCAGTTGAGGCCACTCCTGTCAACTACCTTGGGGCCTACAAACCGACTCGGAAACGACATAAACAGCCACATCTGCTGCGTTGCTGCCTAGTCCCGTCACGTATCTCCCAAAATCCTGGTAGAATCTTCTATCGGGAAGTTCCCCAGATTAGAATACACTTGTCCGCAACAGGAGCTATCTCTGGCATAGCAGGGACCCCTGATTAGTTTCGAGGTTTGAGAAACTAGCAAAAATCCCCATAACACATCCCCAACCCCATTCTATTTCTTAAGGCTATTGGGAACCCAGCAACTGAGTCCGGGCTGCTCTGTAGCCACTCCTGCCGTGTCTAAGGCGGTGAGCCAGGGAAGGGGAAGAATTCCGCCGATGCCAAGCCTTCTGCGGCTTCGGCTTGAGGGTTTGAGGTCTAGGGTTTAGGGTGTAGGGCTGTTCTGGGAGGCCGTCTCAAAGGTCTGGTCCTGCTCCGTCGTGCAAAATACCATGAGAACATAGAAACCCTTTGAAAGAAAAGCCCAGAGGCAGCAGAACGCCAAGGATGGAAGAAACTTGAACAGCCAGGACGACCTCAGAGGGATGTGAAGTTCGGGGAGCTTGTGGCGCTTCGGGCTTAGGGTTCATGCCCCAGCGCCGACAGGAAAACCAAGGCCAAGTTGTCAAAGCACTGTTGTACACGATAAGAAGGCGACTCACATGCGGACTGGGCAGTGGAGAAATCGAGAACCCCCTTTCTCCCAAGAAGAAATTTGTTTTGTACAAGCACCCCGCATTGCAAGCTTTTGGGCAACTTACTAGCCCCTAGCAAACTTTTCCGGAACCCTTCCGGCACATTTCTTCAGCACTGCACCTGCCAAGAAGTCTGGTACGTGAGGGAGAGGACCTTCCATCTCCCGCTCGTCTGCCAGGTGTGGGAGATGAACGTATCAAACCTGAGGCGCAGCGGCGTAGCCATCGCCATTCTGCGAGGGTATAAAGTTAGGGCAGTTAGGGCTTAGGGAAGCCATGGTTTGCCCTTTCGCAGAACGCCGATGCCAAGGAGCTTGTCGACAGGTGTGGCTTCGGAGTTGGACACAGGGGCGCCGTCTTGAAACCACCAGCGAATCTTGGAGGTTTTGGAGTTTCGCCGCTCTCTCGGATTCTTCCGGCGATCAGGTTCCTAGCTGTTGGCTGTTGAGGGTGAAAGGGATCCAGGTTTCGGCGCTCACACTCGGACAATCCAGGCGAGGCATGGGGTTCGAGGTCTGTTGAGCGAAACTGCTGCTATTCGGGGCATGAAGGTTGCCACAGCAACGAAGCCAACGTAAGATGTGAAACCTACTAAAGGAAAGGTGGAACTTGCCCCGTCAGGATTCCAGCTCATCGCCTCATAACCTAGTTGCTAGATCCCAAGCACTACCAGCGGCAGATCGCAAGCGGGGGAAGGGATAACAAGGGCTTGGGGGCTTTCAGACTTCAGGACTACATCTTCTTTGACACTCAGACTCGGAGGCCAGGCTGGAGTTGTTGTATACTACTACTATCGCCTCAATGATTAGAATTCTTCTCGGGCTTCTTTGAGGGGCTCCGTACGGGATATGGGGGGCTCAGTTTGTGAGAAGGTGGCCTGCACAATTCGACCAACTTCATGGGGCACTCGCCGTGACGAAGTACATATGGACCAGAAAGGGATAGCATGTTTCCGGGTATTGAGACCCCTGCAGTAAGCTGAAAAGCAAGGGCTTGCCTCTCGTACTCGAACAATGGGAACAAGGCTTCAACCCTGCTCGTCGTCGGGCCCACCCCGAGGCTGGTTTCAGGATTTGGACGTTGTTGCTTACGGCATGTGAGGCCTCGGGTGCTGGGCTTTGTGTCTACGGTTGATTGCATGATGTACTAATTTGGGACAGCTTCCGTGTCTAAACCCGCTTTACTGCTGCGCTCAAGTCTTGCAAGACCACGACCCCCAATTAAGCTAGAGAACTGTGGTGATCTCGGGTCCTTTCTGAGCGAGTGCGTCTCAGCTGTCTGTGCTAAAAGCTAAATAGAAAGGATGTTAGTTTCGGAAGATATCTTGCCATGGCCATAATTAAAGAGTTTAGGGCTTCGAATGCTGTGGCCTCAAGAATTAATCCTGACCTCCAGATTCTCGCAAGGACATGTCGACCAAGGTCTGCCAAAGAACCTGGAAAGCCTTTGAGAACATGCGGCATGCCACCGAAAAAGATCGCGAAACTTGATGATTTGGAAAGGTCATCGGGCGTAGCAAGCCGTGGATCATGAATACGGCGCAGAAAGCACTGCACCTTGAAAGCACTGCACCTTTGTCTTGCTCATAACATCTTATAACCTACCTTTTCAGAATCAGGGCGGGGAGCCCCCCCGCCACGAAGCGAAGGGCGAAGCGGAATGCCGCGAAGAATCTCCTCACTGGGATGGCTCCACTCTGCACGTTATTTATGGGTATTCAGGAACAGTCCACGCTCTCTTTTCTGAAACTCCCTTAGGTAGTACAGGACACTCTGGCAGCTGGGAGTTTCGGTTGGACCTCAAACGTAACCTTTGGGCTGAGGGCTGCAGGGTTTGAATTCAAGGCCGCGTCCACGTCCCCATCAAGGTGTGTATAGAGGCTTTGGGTTTGGAGTTGAGTTTCGCGCCCCCCCCCCAACAAACGTGAAAGAAGGCTCGCTTATGAGGATGACGCAGGAATATTGCGAGCTGTTGCGGAGAGGTGTCGGGCGGCAGGCGGTAGTTCAAGGCACCTGCAGTGTTCCTATGGCAGATCTGAGAGCCTGAACGCTCAAGCACAAAACTCCTAAACCCCACATAAATCCTTTCGAAGTAGGATTGGTAGATATTGGTACTGCTGGATAATAAACCCAGAACAGACACCTATATGCGGCACTACCACTCCGACTTCGGAACCCAAGCTCCCATTAAACCCGTAATATGAACATCCTTCACTTATGGAAGCCGTATAGAACCCTTAAGAGAATCTTTATGGGAACTGAAAATAAAAAACCCGGCATAAACCCTTAACGCTAAGCCCGAAACCCCTTCCCCTAAGCCTAACTTCATGTAAGACCCTGAATTCCTTGCTTGGGCTCCTCGTCTACGAGGTGGCCGATCATCCTCCCCCGGAGTGGTTCGGGCTCCAGGGTTTGGGGTTTAGAGCTTCAGGTCGCACTTTTTGGGGCTTCCTCTTTCAGGCGTTTGCTTCGAACTGCGACAGTCGAAGGAGAGATTTTGCGAGGCGAGGTTTGGGCTTCGGCGCTCACGCTCGCGCAAGCCAGGCGAGGTTACTGGTGCGAAGTCGGATGAAGTGAAACACTTGCACACGACTCTCGGGTTTCTCGCTCGTTGCCTCACAGCTGCCATAGGCTCTCACGCATGCACCTAATTAAAAGCCTTGGCCGGACGCCGGCCAGCAGGCTCCTACGGAGCCGCCTCAGGTCCAGCCCGTGAAGGGCATTGTTTACGGGTAGACGCCTTCCGCTTCAAGCTGGATGATCCCCATGTCAGACATCACCATGCGCCCGTTTTGCCTCCTGGCAATCTTTTTGTGCACAAGGTGCTTGACAAAAGGCCCAGCTTCCTGCACGAAAACCTCGAACAGTCTCACTGGCGAGCGTTCCCGTTGGTGTTGAATCGTCTCGAGCACTGCTGGGCATCGTCCACTAAGGTACCGTTCGAACCCAGATCCAGAGCTCCACCTGGCCACCCCTGTGACCTTCCAGGTCGCCAGGTCGAACAGCTGGAGATGTCCCTCTTGGGTCTCCAGCCCCAAATTGGAAACGGTCACATCTGCCAAACTGAGGCCCCTGCTGCTCAGCCACGCAACTATGCATGCTAAGTAGTAGTGCCAATGGCGGTGCGTTTCCGCATCCAACCTTTCCAACCAGCCCTGAGCCATGATCACCTTTTGCTGGATTAGGGCAAAGACCATGTGTCGGACCACATGGATCACCAGAGCCGTGACTTCTGGTAGCAGCTCCGACAGCTGCTCCTCGCCACCGTGGTCGTAGGCCACTGTGGTAAACTTTACCACAAATGAGCCCCACCCATACACCACCCGGTTGTTACCAGCGCCGAGTCGGTGCAGGGTTATTTCCTGCGGTAAAGGCTGGCCCCGAACCAGGTCCTTGACGACCGTGATCCTTTCGCCGAACCAGTGGAGCGCTAACTTCGGCCGCCTCCTGTTTGCTTGGACCTCAACCTGGACGTGGTAGCTCAGTGCTGGGCCACCTGCTTCCCACGAGGAGGACGCCTCCTCACGGGAGCGGCCTGAGCTCCCGTGCTGATCCGTAGTGTCCCTTAGCTCCGAGACGGACCTCAGAACTACTCCTGTTTGGGACCCTACACTTTCGGTGGAGGACGCCTCCAGGAAAATGCTGTCTTCGGTCTCACTTTGCCTCCTAACTGCGGAGGCTGAACGCAGGGACACCTCCTCTGGTTCATCTTCCGTCTTGGCCCTCTTGGGCGCCGGCGGCCGCGGCGGCAGCGTGTCCCTCACTTGCAAGACTGCCTCTCTGTCCGTCGCAGCCGAGGACGCTTCCGCCTGAGGGTGGTCCTCCACGAGCAGTCCGTTTCGGGTGCGTCTGCCAGCTCGGAGGAAAGACTTCTTAAACTCCCTGAACTTTCGTGGCCCCAAACCCTGGGCCGCCCGGTCCGCGTTCAGGGCAACTAACCGCCTACGAAGCTCGTCATCAGACGGCGCGCCCTCCATGGCTGGCCCATCTCCGTCCATGACTGGCGGCGGGAGACACCGGACTCTCGGGTTTCGACTCGCACACTCGCACAATCGCAGGCACGGCTTCCGGGGTCCATTGCTACCGTTACTACTGTAAGGCAGTCCAGACTGTTGTGCGTACAGAAATAATATAAGTAAGAAAAACGGGCATAAGCGATACAAAGACATAATGGGAAAAGCGGTTCGGGGCACAACAGACCGGCTGTTCTTGGTGCAGCACACCATGTCAGTAAGCTACACAACAACGACAGAATCGCGAGCGACTACCTTGTGTATCCTCCGCGACCTGAGCTATTTCAAAAAGCGAGGTCTCAGTCAATCTCCACTCGGTTTGTCGTAGTGCCGTATTCACGTGCAGTGTCGTCGCCCAAAAAGGAGACATAGTCGTACATTGTCGTCATGCAGAAAAGAAATGTTGTCATGCAGAGGCGTCGTGCAGAATCAATACATGCCACAGGCTTACCATCCGCGTATACTTGTATTTTAAAGCTTCGCTCGCGTCTCATCGAGATAGCAGTGCCCTATGTGGGTTGGTTTGTGGCCATTCCGAGGTTCAGCAGCAATAGGCAGTTTGTAGCAGGTGCCATGTTGCGAGGTCCAGCGCCTCCACCCGCACGTCGTCTTCAAGTGTAGGTTGCCACTCAGACAGCTGCAATATGGCAGCACTTGCCCGAGGCGTGGGTTCTACAGACACCAGTCATCGCTGTATGGCGCAGCACCTGACACCACGTCGCAGCATTACCTCGGAGCGCCCATATAGCCAGTATTGCAGCTGTAATCCTCGAGTTCATGACGAATACAGAGCGATAGCCTGGCACTGACAGCATCCACGTGCCCCAGTGACCTGATATCGGCCTATGTCCAGAGATATCCGGGGCGTTGTTGCACAGTTGGGGCTCAATGCAGAGTGGCAGCCTGGTACCGGGAGCATCAGCACCTATGAGCCCAGAGCAGTCTATGTCCAAGATTGTCCGGAATGTTGCACATGTGGGTGTTCTTCACCCCGGGGCTCGAGAAGCAGGGTTTGGTGCCACACCCATTGAAGCAGCTCAGTCTGTTAACAGAGATCACTGATCGCCGCTCGAACGGGAGTCGCCATGGCTGCAACAGGCGAGGGTTCAGGGTGATTGACGAAAATGACGGCCCACAGTGGTCCCCGGAGTAGTCAGGAAGTGAAAAGAGGAGCGAGGTACTGCCTCCGCAGTGGCCAGCAGCAGGCACGCATTGGCAAAGGCAGAGCTCAAACCGTACACCGGCAGGCAGAACCCCGGGGTGTTCAGGTTGGGGCCACGGCGGTAAGCGGAGCCGTTAACTTGCACACAGAAAGTCTCTTCCCTCACTCTCTCCTCACTGCAACACTTGGACACACCGGCGCAAAGTCTTCCCTCTCACCACTCCTCTCTGCAACACTTGTACACATAGGCACATGAACACTGCTTTGGCACCAGTTCTCTCGCCCTCCCTCACTGCAACGAACGACATGCTGAGTACCTATACTGTACACCTCCTAGCACGGCCTCACCTCACTGCCTCGCGCCACAGACGTATACGGATACTGAGCAACTGCATTGAGCTTGTCCACTGGCTGATGCGCATCGTTTTTCAGGGTCTCGGTTGGCCTATCACGAGTACGGCCAGCGGCCTATTGGGGTTTGGGGTTTGAGCTTCAAGGGGTTTCGACGCTTGGGGGCTGAAAGCCTTGACTTCGGGGCTTCGGGCCACTGGGCGGGGTCAGCTTCGGGAACGGGCCGCCGCTTCGAGCTGCGATAGCAGACCCGTGGACAGAGATCCGAACCCAAAAACACAAACCTTGCTGCTACTTTGAACACGGCAATGGTGCAAATACCACTTGGTGCTTGAAGTTGAAACAGTAGCTGTTTCGAAGCAAGCGCGGGTCCACCAGACCTACTGTACCGTACTCAAAGGTGTCCTTTCCGGTGTCGGTGCATGGCACCACCCACCACCCCCACAGGCTTAGACCAATACCTCATCAGTCTCTCGAACCCAGTACGTACACCCTACCTAGCATAGCTCAGAAACGGCAGGGGTTCATTGTAGAACTTGGGTTGTAAAGTACGGTATGACGCCGAAGACACACCCTACTCCAACGCCCGAGGTACTCTTGGGAATGGTTCTCAGACCCACAAACCCAGAAACGCCTGATAAACGCCTAGCCCATCCGACCAGGTGGAAACGATCAGTGAGATTGAAAAGTTGAGAAAGCTGCAAGACAAGATACCAGGCTCAGAAGGTGTTGCACGGCTTCGCTAAGGCAGTTCTAGCGTGATTGAAAAATCAAAAGACGGTTGATGGTGAGAAACTTTATCAAGCGACGGTGGCTTCCACTTACATGCACTTGCCTTGAACAGTCTACCTTGTAAGTGTAGACAGAAAACTTCTCACGAAGAAACTCAGATAAACAACGAAGGCAAGACAATCATTGAAGATAGGAGTTCTTTGAAGGTCGGGGGTGGAAGCACTCCAGACGATGGCAGTTATAAGGAAACTGACATGGATCATCAAAATTTGGTCGGCAGAGTCCCCTAAACCCTAAACCCTAAACCCTAATCCTAAACCCGACTTGCCAGGCTCGGATTCTCTCGGTGCGTAGGAGGGTTCTTAACTCTATACCCGAAACCCGAAGCCCCAACTAAGCCCTAAACCCAGGCAGTTGGAAGCACACCGCAGATGATGGGAAACCCCGCTGAGAGATTCCACTACTGGGGTATCCCTTCCACAAAACCAAAACTCTACACCCGCTCCGTACAGAGAAAGCCAGAATCCCCCAAAACCATACACCCTAAACCGCCGAGGGTTGAATGCCCAAAAACCCCCAACCAACTCTAAGTCGTTGAGGAACCGCGCGCGGTCCTCTCCAACTTTAGGGATCCGTTCGAAGTGCGGCGCTCCACTGAGACGAGCTCAGGATCCGCCTCACTTCGGAAAAACTGAAGTCTCAGCTCTCTGCTATGCCCGATTTCCCTACAATGTCTTCACCCCAAAAAATTCCAAAAGCCCAAATTTTGGCTGAGCAAAAGGATTTGAGGCCCCCCACCGGGTCTGAAGTGAGACCGTTCATGGCGTCCTCTTGGTCCGACGGAGGCGCCTCATCCCCTTCTGCCCCCTCCTGGAGCTTCCGAGGCTTCAGGGACTTGATTTGAGGGCTTTAGAGAGTGCCTGGGCCAAAAGACTCCTCCAAGGGAAAACACGGCTTATTCCACGGTTTACGCTCTATGGCTCTGTGCGGTTTAGGGCTTAGGGATCGAGCTTCTTGCTCTCTTGCTGGGCTCCCGTAAGCGGGATTGGCATGCACCTGTCCGATCTGAAGGCTCGCAACAGGCAGCCCCTTCGACATCAAACGAAAGAGTTCTGCTTTGGCTGTTATACTGTTAAATAATGGATCGGAAGCGGGAAGGAGGTCCAGGTCCTCCTTTTGCTTGCGTTCTGTTCTGTGGCCCTTGCTCTCCTTTCTCTGCGGCCGATATTGGAGAGCCCATTATGGAGCCCGTTATAGAACCCTGCAGGGAGCCCCTAAAGGAACCAGTCACAGAAACCCTGAGAACCTGATCTGACAACCCAACAACGGTCCGGGAGAGCGATCGGCTTCTGTGGAACGGTGGGCGCTTCGACGACTTCGGGGATCACTCCCAGATTGGGCCTCGCAGGGGTGTTATGAAGGCTTCTCATGAAGGCTTTCATGATGCCTTATCGAGGTTCCCCGTGACTCCATGCTGAAAGCTGTTGCAAGGGTTCCACAGGGGTTGCTCTAGGGTGTTGTTGCGTAGGTTTTGGGAGGCTTATTGGTCTTCGCGATCTCCAAAGCTGGACCCACAGCAAGCATAGCATTTCGACCCAATCATTGCACGGATTTAGCGAGCCACAGGGCGAGCATCATCAGCATCAGCTGGATTTCCCTTCAAACCCCTCCTGTGATCTCCTGCGATTTGGACCCACAGGAAGCGTAGCATTTCGACCCAATCCTTGCACGGATTTAGCGAGCCGCAGCATCAGCTGGATTTCCCTTCAAACCCCCTTCCCGATCTCCGCCTTTGGACCCAGAGCAAGCGTCGCATTTCGACCCAATCCTTGCACGGATTTAGCGAGCCGCAGGACGAGCATCATCAGCATCAGCTGGATTTCCTTTCAAACCCCCTTCGCGATCTCCGCCTTTGGACCCAGAGCAAGCGTCGCATTTCGACCCAATCCTTGCACGGATTTAGCGAGCCGCAGGACGAGCATCATCAGCATCAGCTGGATTTCCTTTCAAACCCCCTTCGCGATCTCTGCCTTTCGACCCAGAGCAAGCGTCGCATTTCGACCCAATCCTTGCACGGATTTAGCGAGCCGCAGGACGAGCATCATCAGCATCAGCTGGATTTCCCTTCAAACCCCCTTTGCGATCTCCGCCTTTGGACCCAGAGCAAGCGTCGCATTTCGACCCAATCCTTGCACGGATTTAGCGAGCCGCAGGACGAGCATCATCAGCATCAGCTGGATTTCCTTTCAAACCCCCTTCGCGATCTCCGCCTTTGGACCCAGAGCAAGCGTCGCATTTCGACCCAATCCTTGCACGGATTTTAGCGAGCCGCAGGACGAGCATCATCAGCATCAGCTGGATTTCCTTTCAAACCCCCTTCGCGATCTCCGCCTTTGGACCCAGAGCAAGCGTCGCATTTCGACCCAATCCTTGCACGGATTTAGCGAGCCGCAGGACGAGCATCATCAGCATCAGCTGGATTTCCTTTCAAACCCCCTTCGCGATCTCCGCCTTTGGACCCAGAGCAAGCGTCGCATTTCGACCCAATCCTTGCACGGATTTAGCGAGCCGCAGGACGAGCATCATCAGCATCAGCTGGATTTCCTTTCAAATCCCCTTCGCGATCTCCGCCTTTGGACCCAGAGCAAGCGTCGCATTTCGACCCAATCCTTGCACGGATTTAGCGAGCCGCAGGACGAGCATCATCAGCATCAGCTGGATTTCCTTTCAAACCCCCTTCGCGATCTCCGCCTTTGGACCCAGAGCAAGCGTCGCATTTCGACCCAATCCTTGCACGGATTTAGCGAGCCGCAGGACGAGCATCATCAGCATCAGCTGGATTTCCTTTCAAACCCCCTTCGCGATCTCCGCCTTTGGACCCAGAGCAAGCGTCGCATTTCGACCCAATCCTTGCACGGATTAGCGAGCCGCAGGACGAGCATCATCAGCATCAGCTGGATTTCCTTTCAAACCCCCTTCGCGATCTCCGCCTTTGGACCCAGAGCAAGCGTCGCATTTCGACCCAATCCTTGCACGGATTTAGCGAGCCGCAGGACGAGCATCATCAGCATCAGCTGGATTTCCTTTCAAACCCCCTTCGCGATCTCCGCCTTTGGACCCAGAGCAAGCGTCGCATTTCGACCCAATCCTTGCACGGATTTAGCGAGCCGCAGGACGAGCATCATCAGCATCAGCTGGATTTCCTTTCAAACCCCCTTCGCGATCTCCGCCTTTGGACCCAGAGCAAGCGTCGCATTTCGACCCAATCCTTGCACGGATTTAGCGAGCCGCAGGACGAGCATCATCAGCATCAGCTGGATTTCCTTTCAAACCCCCTTCGCGATCTCCGCCTTTGGACCCAGAGCAAGCGTCGCATTTCGACCCAATCCTTGCACGGATTTAGCGAGCCGCAGGACGAGCATCATCAGCATCAGCTGGATTTCCTTTCAAACCCCCTTCGCGATCTCCGCCTTTGGACCCAGAGCAAGCGTCGCATTTCGACCCAATCCTTGCACGGATTTAGCGAGCCGCAGGACGAGCATCATCAGCATCAGCTGGATTTCCTTTCAAACCCCCTTCGCGATCTCCGCCTTTGGACCCAGAGCAAGCGTCGCATTTCGACCCAATCCTTGCACGGATTTAGCGAGCCGCAGGACGAGCATCATCAGCATCAGCTGGATTTCCTTTCAAATCCCCTTCGCGATCTCCGCCTTTGGACCCAGAGCAAGCGTCGCATTTCGACCCAATCCTTGCACGGATTTAGCGAGCCGCAGGACGAGCATCATCAGCATCAGCTGGATTTCCTTTCAAACCCCCTTCGCGATCTCCGCCTTTGGACCCAGAGCAAGCGTCGCATTTCGACCCAATCCTTGCACGGATTTAGCGAGCCGCAGGACGAGCATCATCAGCATCAGCGGATTTCCTTTCAAACCCCCTTCGCGATCTCCGCCTTTGGACCCAGAGCAAGCGTCGCATTTCGACCCAATCCTTGCACGGATTTAGCGAGCCGCAGGACGAGCATCATCAGCATCAGCTGGATTTCCTTTCAAACCCCCTTCACATCAGCTCGGATCCTTGCACGGATTTTCAAGCATCAGCTGGAGTTCCTTTCAAAACCCCCCTCGCGATCTCCGCCTTTGGACCCAGAGCAAGCGTCGCATTTCGACCCAATCCTTGCACGGATTTAGCGAGCCGCAGGACGAGCATCATCAGCATCAGCTGGATTTCCTTTCAAACCCCCTTCGCGATCTCCGCCTTTGGACCCAGAGCAAGCGTCGCATTTCAACCCAATCCTTGCACGGATTTAACGAGCCGCAGGACGAGCATCATCAGCATCAGCTGGAGTTCCTTTCAAAACCCCCCTCGCGATCTCCGCCTTTGGACCCAGAGCAAGCGTCGCATTTCGACCCAATCCTTGCACGGATTTAGCGAGCCGCAGGACGAGCATCATCAGCATCAGCTGGATTTCCTTTCGAACCCCCTCCGCGATCTCCGCCTTTGGACCCACAGCAAGCGTAGCATTTCGACCCAATCATTGCACGGACTTAGCGAGCCAAGCATCAGGTTGATTTCCCTCCAAACACTCTCTGCGATCTCCTGAGATGCAGTTTCCTTTCCCAGTTTCTCTCTGATCTCCCTCGGCGTATCAGTTCGACCCGTACTTGGTTCCGAAGCACAGAACTAAGGCCCGAAATGCTCAACAGACCCAAACCCCCCTCCACAAGCCTGGAGTCTGAGCAACAGCAGTTGCTGCTCTGCTTGCTTCCCATGCCCAGGCACAGCAGCAAACAGCTTGGCCACGTGAGGGTTGTGCGTGCGCGGTTGCGAGTTGTTATGCGGGGTCGAGCTTCGGGTTTAGGTGTACGTAGGGTTTGGGGGTTCAGGGTTTGGTAGTCTGCTCTAGTATATCATGGCTTAATATGCTAGATTTTTGTTTGCATTGAACAGTTTTCTGCATGTAATACACGATCATGTACGATAAGATGCTAACAGATACTGTACTATGCCAAAAGTTACCATAAGATGCTATAAATAAACGCTCTACACCATCATACCATAATATGCCAGAAGGGTTCTGGCTAGCGGCTAGGGCAGGGAGGGCTTCCCATCTGCTCCAAGCCGCCCAGCTCGAGCCAAGAACTTGCGGCCACGACGCGAACATCAGCTGAGAGACTTGGGGATTCTTGGGACTTACGCTTTCGGACCTAAGGTTGCTTTGGGGTTTAGGTTGCGGGGTTTTTGGGGGCTTAGGGCTCAGGGTGAGGATTCCGCAACACCTCCACAAGGGCACGGTACGGGCATTAGAAGGTTCGGGGGTTTACTTCGCAGCCCTTTTGATGTAGTGAGCATACGTAGCATCCCCCAGGAACCACAGAAAACCCAAGACCCATCTTACAAAGCCTATTTCCTAGATTAAGACAGCATTCATACTGAAGGAAATAGCCAATGAATCCGGGCTTTAGATGCTGGACCTTGAAGTTTCAGGTGTTCCCAGCTTTGTTGTGGAACTGCTGTCCGTTGGCACTGGGGTGAAGGAAGCCCCAAGAAACCCTCAAATCCCAATGTCAACGCCACGCTTTGAAGGACCCATCAGACCCATAGCTCAGCCTTCACATGAGAAAGGCTTGGCAAGCCGGCCAAGTATCCCCTTCGCTTCTCAAGTTTTTTCTACCTTCAACCACAACACAACTAGGGGCCCCAAGCTCGTTAAACCCTAATTAGACACTCTATGCTTGGAGGGCGACCGAGCCTGCTGCTGGCCCTGCAGTAGCTGCAGGCATGGCCATGTTCCGGATGCTCTGAAGGTACTGCCTCAGTTTAGGGATTATGGGCTTGCAAGCAGGATGCCACGTAACGGGCGTGAAGACGGCAGTGGTGGATGGAATGCGGAAGGCAGCTTTTCAAGCTCTGGCTTCTAGTGTTGAGGTGCCTTCACTAACTATGACAGAAGTTTCAGGGAAGGGCCACAGTCCGAGTTCTGTAAACCCGGTCACGAGGAAAACCCCATGTAAGCCCTAAATGCTTCAGCCAACGCAAGCTCTAAACCCTTAACCCTAAGCCCATGTAAGCCCTTCCCTGATCGCTCTGGTAAGTCCGATAGAAAGGCCGGGTTGCAGGTATCGAACACCGGATGCATCGCCGCCAGCAGTTTCGTAGGCCTTCCATTCGAACTCTCTCGGTGGAGAACTCTGAAAGCCAACCAAACACAGCCAGGAGAGTCCATAAATCTGTTATTGCAGCTTATGGCGCGCTGAACCCTTGAAACCCAGAGCCTTTGGGGCCCGATGGTCTTAGATATCCCTTGTCGGAAATCTGGAAAAAGCACCTCCGAAACCTGCATAATAGGTTATACAACTTTAACCCTAAAGAAAAGGGACTAGCTTTGCCACTCGGCCAGAAGTAAGGTAATTGCATACTCCAACAAGCCCTCAATGAAGGGGCTACTGTCCAGTCGGCAATTCATCGACGGGTTCCTTGAGAAGCGGGTCCCGGTCAAAGACATCAGTTTCAGTTGCAATAAAAAGGAGAGCTGCTTTCCTTGCTAGTCTTGCTATGGCGACACAACATCTGTTCAATTCCCTAAGGCGAACTCAACAACTCAACGATTTCGGGCTTTGCCGGTTCGCTTTTCATAGCAACGTCCCCAGTCAAGTACGCTGAATCTGTTAGGGCCTGAGGCAGCGGGCCTTCTTTGTGCAAGCAAACCCTACATACAAGCACCCCCGCCCCCCCAATCTCTAAAGCCTCAAAACACACAGAAAAGTGCCCTGCCTCCACAACGGACTGCAGCTGCTGTTGGGTGACCGTTGGCTTCGTCAGGACCTCAGATTGGAGTCTTCTGATGTTGAGGCTCCAGATTTGGGGGTTGGCCCCTTTGCACCAACCGAAGTCCAGCTCAGCCGAGGCCTACACGCACAGAACTCGAGAACTGCTAGATCCCGGATAAGACAGGAGGACTCATACCGATTGGCGTGCCACGTTCAAGGCCCTCAAGCCAGGTCCGCAATATTTGTATGCTTGAAACTTGCAACAAGCAAAAGCCCAATTAAGAGTGAAGCTTACCAAACCAAGGCTTTAACGAAACGAGTCATGGCCGCAACACTAGTGCTAATGGACAACATCCTGCCTTACCTCGAGTCCTAAAGTTTTTTCATATCCCCTCTTGGAGGATGCAGGGCTGGGCTCGTCAACAACAGGAAATTCTGCTTCGGCGCTCTGCTGCGTGCTTTTAGTCTTGAAGCTTTCGTTTCTATCTCATGGCCCTCAACATGGCGAAGAAAAACCGCACACTGAAACAAGCACAGAATACCACTGTCCAGACCAACTTGTTTCACAACATCTTCGAGGAAATCTGATTTGCACGGAAAACATTGATAGGAATAGACGCCGGGAGCCTGCCAGCAGCTGTTGAATTTCTCCATTTCTGAGCGAGGCACGAGAACCATGATAGCCTGAGCTGGTTTCTGGTTGGCTTGCTTCGGGGTTCAGGGTTCTTGAGAAAAGGAGGGCTGGGAGCTTGGGCTCAATGTGGGTGGATTGGCGTGTGGTGAAGTCGACATGGTGTCGCACGTATGCTCGATAAAGGCCGGCTGCATGCCGTACGGGGACCTGCGATTACCAAGAAAAATTCAAGACAGGCCGCAGAAGAAGCTGACGACAAGGTGTCCCGACTCAACTGAAACTACATTCCTTCACTCAGTCACTCGGCTTTCCTTCATAAGCTTCAACCTCTTCGACGGTAACTGTAGGGACCCAGTTCTGGTCCCCAAATCGAAACACTGTTCTGAAGGGCCCACGCAAAGATTCAACCAAACTGACCGGACTTGGGGATTGCTTCCTGTCGCGTCTTCAACTTCTCAGCCCCAGAGTCAATTGACTCGCCGAAACGGGTTAAGGACGCAGCCTAGATTCCCAGAGCTCCAACAGAGAATCCCGCCGCTCGGTGAAGACGCACCAGAACTACAAGCATACGCTCAATTTCGGAATCCTACGTCCGCAGACCTGGAATCAAAGGCCTAGCTCTGGGATCAGCTCGCAACTCAGCACCGCCAGAATGTAAATGCTACCCCCAGCCAAGGTCCAGCAACCCTGAAGCCGTCTTTTTAACTTTGCACGGCTGCAGCTCCCAAACCCTAAACTCCAACCGAAAACCCCTGATTTCTATATGAGCCCAAGACCCTTTCAGGAAAGTTCAGGGTCTCGAAACGCTGAGGCTTATGAATTTTCCATCTCCGCCGAGGCTCTCGTAGCTTATCTGCCAGTGTCCCCTTCTGCGAGGATCCCAGGAGCTGTTCCTCTGGACAAACAAGCCGACAAACAAGCCGACACCGTGAAGAGGTGGGGGTTGTGGGGCTGTTTTTGGATTTGGGAATTCAGGTTACTTCAAAGGGGGCTACTTACGGTTCAGGGGTTGCAGATTCGGATGAAGGGGGGAGGGCTTTGGAGACACCAGGGGCGGCCGTAAGCACCGAAGCCCAAGCTCTGCATTGATCCTGCCAGCCTTTGCCTCACCCAGAAAATCCTGGAAAGTGGACACCTAATCAAGCATCCTAAACCTCTTGTTTTTTCGGTTTGGCCCGATGACTTCAACTACTGCAGCTCGTGGGTTGCGATCGCAAGGCCTCGGGGCTAAGCTCCCAAACTCAACGTCCTTCGTCCAGGTGTCCCGCTACTTGAGCATTTACGATGCTGTGGTCTACTACTTAGGAGGCCCTTCAACTTTCAAGCCCTGAACCCTGAATCCAAGGATCCCTTCCAGGCAAAGGAAGAAGAACCCTTTCTGCAGCAGGCCTCGTTGTGCAGCAGCCCGGTTACAGCAAGAGCTCCCCCCTTTCTTCTTCCTAAACCCTAAACCCGTACCCCCAACAGAATTCAATCAACTAGCTTCGCCAAAGAGCCAGCTCTTTCACCGAGGTCCCCAGGGACTGCGATGCCAACTGATCCTCGAACTCGTAGTACCTGCAGTCACATGCAGACTTGCCAAACAGGTTGAAGCTCCTTTCCTGGCAACCCTTACTCCAAACCCCAGCCCCCCGTCAAGTCGACGGTTGCTACAAGCTGACGGCCGTCCAAGGGCCTTTAGTGAGTAGGATTTGAAGTTTGTTTGACACTCGTGCTCGAAGTCGTCAGACGAGGTTGCGGCGCAACTTTACAGCTAGGGGAGACATTTCCTCAACACAAGCTCTGTGGCTCATGCAAATAAGCGATCCATGTATTTCGTACGTCCACCTCCAAGGATTTGAAGTACATCACTTGAATAAGGAAGCAACCAGTGTTGCTAAGGAACGCTCGGGAAGAACTGCTGATTTTTCAGGCTCCTACGTATTTGCATTGCTGCTACGACCGCTACGAAATCATGCTCGCCCCCTGTCTTCGAACCACTAACACCTTGCCGACTAGCCCATGGGCTCTGCATTGACTTGCATAGAAGCTTCGGGCACAAACGACTGGCCTTGAGATATTGGTGTTTCACAAATGAGGGGTACCTTAGTTGATGTGCCTCTTTGAGGGCCTTACTCTCTCGGCACACTGCCTACCTAGTCTGTTGCTTTGAGAAGCTCCCCCTATTGCCATTGCACGTGCTTTGCAGCAGGGCCAAGAGTGCAGGTTTTGGGAATGATGCCCGGGGTTGTGAGCAGTTCCTTTCGCACTTTGGAGAGCCTCATAAGTCTCTAGCGTTCGTATGCCATGATCGGCACAAGGTTCGGAATTCAGATGTTCTCTCAAACCCTGAGCCCTAGCTCTCGAGGTAGCTGCCCCCGAAACCGTT